AAAACATTTTAAAAGTTCGGTTTTAAAATAATCTCCTGATCCAATCTTTATATCATGATTAAGTGGATATAGAAAACTATATTCTTCGTATTATTATTAAGAACTAATCTTCTTTCAGTATAATTTCACTTATAACATTGTCAACAATCTTTATTTCAGACATTTAATATTTTAGATCAATATCTTGACTAGAATTTAAAAAACAAATATTGCTTCGAAATAAAATATTCGGTCTTTAAATCTTGAGTAAACCATATATATGGAGAGGTATACCAAGTTTAGTTATTATTTCCTTTTTTGTATTCAATAAAGAATTCATTTTATTCATAAAAATCATCAATTATTATAACAGTTGCGTTGCCTTTATCTTATAAACTAATATAATCATTAATTTTTTCAATCTTCTTTCTTAGTAGTTGATGCAGAAATTTTAGCCTTCTTTTATACATTTATTACATATAAGATAATTGCAAGTTTTTGTAATCCCGGAAAAAAAACTCAACGAAAAAACTATGGGGGAAAAAAAATATCTGATGGAAAAAAATTGTAAAAAAAAAAATTCACTTAATTTAACAGTTTTAATAATTATTATGAAGGATCCAAAATTACACAAAAAAGCCAATTTGGAAGAGATCCGGAACACGGTCGAGGGCCTGCATAATGCTGGTAGTGACATCACCAATATTAATAAAAATTGGAGACCACTGTCCATCAGTTGACGGAGATAATAGTCTTATTTCATGCCCAAGGGATGATAAGAACACGCCAGGACTGATGATTTCGCCCCCCCCCCACCAAACTCGAAAAAGGCTGTGGTGGATAATCCTTTTATGAGCAACGCAGAAAAGCCGTCCGCAAGTAGGGACAACCCAAATTGATTACAAACTCATATGTTAAATAAGGGCTTTTGCCCTCCTTGAGGCATATTATACTGCTCTATTGAATCTTGGTGTTCAAGTATACACACTCTGGTTCCACTCACCATCAGTATTTCTTCTTCTTCATCACAATTCCCACAAATGATATAGATCAATTACCCTTGAAACCATCTTAGCAAAAAGCTTTCAAATCATGATTACATATAATAAACGATTTGAAGATGGAAAATGAAAATTATAGAATTATTTCTGATTGAAAATTTTAAATTTATTAGTGTCAACTGTCAACAAAAATCTCATCACATTCTTCTACTTATATGAATTTATATCTATAGAACAGATTCAGCCATAAACACATTTGTGAATTTTAACAATAATGATATTCACATTCACCATAAATATGGTAAAAATTCCTAATCCATGAGCCTACCAGTCCTCAGCACAGCACTTACCAAATGTAACTCCCATTATATAATAAACTTATTAAAGCAACCAAATTGGGGTTATTGACATCTTATCGTAACCATAAAATAAAGTATCCTCATTCTGGGATACCCATCTTATTACCAGCTATTCCTCGAACCCTTAATGCCTTTTCTGCTCTTGCCCTCACAACTAAACCCATAGTAACCATTCACATCATTAGCTGATGTGCTCACTAGCCTAATAATCCCTACCTCCACTGTCACAACTGCTTCGACGTTTGACTCAGCCCACTCCACAAATGTAGAAATATTTCTAACTGTATCAAAACCATTTGTAATTTCACGAATACCTAAGGAAGCAAGGCTACAAGTTGTGAGACACCTGTCAAAAAATTTGACTTCCTTGTTAAATAATTATTCTTCTGTAAAACATTGGCTAGACACCCTGTCATTTGCCTTTACTACCTTAAAAGTTCCTGGTCGAAAAAATCCCTGACTTAGCAAGTTAAGGATGCTACTATCTACCCCTTACCCATCAATCACATTACTTTTAAGAGTGATGACACAGATAAAAATATAAATCACAAAAATGACCTGTTCACCAATACCAAGCTAATTTACTTATACCGCAAGCAGCATTAGTAAGGCTATTCTCTCCTTCAAACGCAATTCCTCACCTGAGTTCGATGGGTTTTGCCCAATATTCCTACAAGAGCTAACCGCACCTTACATAACACAACAATGTGACGTTTTAGAAAAAATTACCCAATTAATCAACTGCGAGGCATACCACCCGCCATTATTCCATTGATATACGGAGCTAAACTCATCGCTTTCCATAACCCCAATAAAGATATTCGCCCAATCGCTATTGGAACCACTTGGCACCGATTAACCGCCAAGCTATAGACTTCTCGAACGCCTTTAACTCTCTAAGGCGTGGTGCGTTTTAAATCCAATCCTCACCCTCTATCCAGAATACTCACAATTTATCTTCGATTGTTATGCTTCCCTAGCATCTTCAATTCGGAGATAGATTGATTTATTCTTGAGATGGAACAAGGTGACCCTCTAGGTCCCTTTTTATTCTGTCTAGGCATTAATAGACTAATACGAGACATTAATGACCGATGCAAGCTAAATCTTTATAACTGGTATGGTATACTAGGCGCCCCACCGGCTGAAGTTATGAAGGCAATCCAAATAATAAAATCCAACGAGAGCAGTTTGTGACTGCGAATTGATCAAGACAAGGGCGAATATTGTCCTCTTGGGATCATCGACCTTAACCACCATACTATGTTCAATCATACACCATTGAACGCTTTAACACATATCGGATCTCCAGTAGGTAAAGACGAGTCAAGTTCTTCGCCAATTTTTACGAGAGATATCCCTCATGCACGATACACTATCCCGTCTCCCAGCTCACCAAGCTTTCTTATTAAAGAACTACCTTCTAATTCCAAGAATTCTATATATACTCCGATCATCACGAATCTTTCAATACAACAACCTCCCTGCGCATGAACTCGAGATTAAACGCCTCACAGAATATATACTCAATCTTAAATTTGGAGACCTATCTTGGTTACAGGCTACCTTACCAACCAAATCGGTCATTGACATAAGGTCTTCCCTACTTTCCGTTAGTGCATTCATATCCTCTCGCCTGTCCTGCGAGCCCATCATACACACACTCACAAAACATCCTGACCCCTTACTCATACAGGCAATTGATTTATGGAAGTCCCTCTCATTAGTCGATCCTCCATTGTCGGCACTACAGAAGGAATTGGATAAACCTCTAGTTGGCAACTCCGTTGCATACTTTAACTCGAGGAGCCAACCCGAGGACCATTCTCTACTCTTCTCCATTTCCGCAGATAGTGGATACGAATTTCTCGAGGCTTTCGCATCGCGAAACCTTGACCAGCTCCTAATCAATGAGAACTACGTCACGCGATCGGTCTTAGACTTAATTGCGATATGGTAACGCCTTATCACTGTACCCTCTCTCAAACATCTGTTAACTACAAGCGCTGTAGAGGCAGATTTATTAGGCATATAATGCAATGATACCATTGCCAGGCCCTTAAAATCCGCCGGCATCCTATCAACCCTGGAACCTACTGGCCTTTTTAATTCCGATGGTAAGCGGCCCGATGGTTCGACTATGATCCCCTAGAAAAGGGGGGAATTCTTAACCTGGGACTTCTCATGCATCGATCCTCTTGCCCCTTCCAATATAAATAGGGATGTTATACTACCGTGGCGAATAAACTAGCTAAATATTCGCCATCGCTTCTCGCCAATTATACATTCCTACCATTAATCGCCACGACTCTAACGACGTTCGGCTCTCATGCCCTGGCCTTCTTTAAAGAGCTGGGAAAACGGATGTCTGCTAGAACCGAGGATCCTAACAAGGGATTCTACCTACGCCGAAGATTAACCATAAACATAATAAAATACAACTATCTCAGCTGTATTCTTTCAATATCCGAAACCCCCTAATTGAACATCGTTAGGATAGACTTTGGCTATTTTGCTCCAAATTATAATGTTAACGCTAAAAGGGAACTTGACTCTCAATCAATAAAAGATAGCAAGAATTAATGACTTTATATAATTGTGATTTACTATTATTATATTTTTTCTCCCCAATAATTGTGTATAATTGTAAATTTCGTATTTGTACAAAGTAATTTTATAGTACAATAAAATATAATATTTATAAACAATGAAAAAAAAATATAGTGAAATAAAAATTTATACATTTCAATATTAAATATATTTTTAGGAACGGTCTGGACAGTTCCATGAAGGTTCTGTTCTCGCTCCACAAATTTATTTAAAGTTCTATACTCAGAACGTTCCTTTCCAGATCTATATTTTTAGAACGGTCTGGACAGTTCCATGAAGGTTCTATTCTCGCTCCACAAATTTATTTAAAGTTCTATACTCAGAACGTTCCTTTCCAGATCTCTGATTTTTTTACAATAATAATTCCAAATTTAAATTTGTAAACAAAACCTTTTTTTCACCAAATTTAAATAATAGTAATCTTTGTTAGATATTTTTTAACAATTTTTTCTTCAGGCCATTTTTCCTTAATATTTTGGTTTCTCAATTTATTTTTCCAAAGTTTTTATTTCCTTCAGATTTTTTTTCGTAGTTTTTTCGATTGAGTTATTTTTCCCTTTTCCATGTGGTCTATATTTATTTAATGTACATTCAATTTATATGACAATTTTTAATAATAAAGATTCAAATCCCATTGCGATTTTGCATAATAAGAAAAGTATATTTTCATTGGTATCTTTAGTTATTTTTCCATTCAATTATGGAATATTTGTCTTCAATAAACGTAAAAAATATTACTATAAAATAAAATCTTAATTATGATATTTTATTTATTATATTTGACTGAAAAGTAAAGAAATAGCGTACTATTTAACTACGTAGCGGGCAACAACCAATTCCATTTACCCGTTTTAAATGATTGCAAAGATAATACAAAGACGAATTGGGATATGGGACCAAACTTGATTATAAATTTTCAAGCAAATTGAACTAAGATTCTAAATTTTGCATTAAATTATATAATATATATATAATTTGATATTTCTAATTTTATTTAAATATTATAATTCCTTGCAAAATTCATTTAATATATAAAATAATTTTATCCACTTTAAATGAAATTGAAAAATATTCTTTAAATATGTATAAGGTCAAATTTTTTTTGATATATATTTTTAAAGGAAGTAGAGAATTTATAAAAAAAATAAGGTTTATTTGTATGGAAGCGTAGATATAAATCATTGTAAATAATAATAAAACCTAATATGTGAATATTAGAATTATTCTAAATTTCAATTCTATATAATTCCAAATTTGTAATGTCATTTAAACTTTAAGTGTATCTATCTATTAAAATTTGCTAAATAATTTTAAAATGATATTTTGCAAGTTTAAAATTATATAGTTAAGTTTAAAAAAATATTTTTCAGATTTGAAATATATACTTCAACAGAATGAAGCTTTATGCAATCATATTTTACAAGGTAAAATGTGATATCTATATTTTGTATTAATATGTAAGATAATATGTTTAAAGTAAAGTTTTTTTAAAAAAAACTAATAATTTAAACGATCAAAAGTTTTGATATTTTTTTGGTGCGTGCATGGTTTCCTTTAAAAAAAATAAAATACATGAAAAAATGGCAGTTTGGTCATTCAAATATCAATCGATGAAATATGTGGAAATAAATAAATATATGAAAAAAATTTCCAAAGTAATCTATTCTATAAAAATACCATAGTATATTCCAATATACTAAATTAATATTTTTTTAAACTGCACAATAGTTTTTTTCTATATTGTATAACGAGAAGTTGCTCGATTATTTCGATAGTAATAATATTTTAATATATTTGAAAAGAAGAATTTTAAAAGAAAATTAATTTAAAAAAATATTTGAGGGGGAAGAGGATGTTTTAAATTATTTTTTTTTGGTTTTAGCCATTCATATCATGTATTTAAAAATAGATTGAATCTTTTTCAAACTTTTATCAGAAATATTTATAAAAATGTACAATTAAAAATTATTATTTTTTGGCAAAAAGTGAAGGGATAAAAGCTTCTCTGAATTCTTCGAATAGCGTGGTTTGAAGAGATCCATGGATATCACCTTTCAAGGAATATAATTCGTTGAGTATCATTAATATAGTATCCTCTGATTCCCTGATCAATGTAAAAATATAAAATAATTAACAAATAATAAATATATGATTTGTCGCTGACATGATGTCTCTAAATATGGTAGGAAAAATGGGAGAAGAATAAAAAAAAAAGGAGCAAGGATGATAATTAAAACTGGAAAACAATGTTAACGGAGCAGTGTCTATGTCTAAATTTTACATTTATTTAGCTTTTGTGATGTTATTTTATTTTGCCATTTACATTCTATAATTTTCTTTTAAAAATATAATGTCCGTATCGATAAACAGAAACAAATAATATTTGTTGGTCTCCCGAGCTGTACAAACTATCGTCTACTGTTTTCTAGCGTTTTTTTTTGTTCATTAATATAACTATTAAAAACCATCCTTATATAATAATGTAATTGTAGCTAATGATTTACAAATCGAATAGGTCATAATTATATTTTCCATAAAATGATGGTTCCATGTCAATTCAGCGAAACTTTTATCGCGAAACACTTTTTCGCGAAACTTTTATCGCGAATGTCGTTTATCGCGAATGGATTTTATAGCGAAACTTTTATCGCGAATCCATAATAGCGAATACTATTCCGCGAATGCAATATCGCGAAACAAATATCGCGAATTTTTTATAGCGAAACCTTTATCGCGAAACCTTTATAGCGAATACATTACCGCGAATACAATAACGCGAAACAAATATCGCGAATTTTTTATAGCGAAACCTTTATCGCGAAACCTTTAATGCGAATACATTACAGCGAAACTTTTATCGCGAATCAATAATCGCGAAAATTTTATAGCGAAATCTTTATCGCGAAACCTTTAAAGCGAATACATTACTGCGAAACTTTAATCGCGAATCAATAATCGCGAAAATTTTATAGCGAAGTTATTATCGCGAAACATATATCGCGATAGAGAATTTAATATCGCGATAATTGCTAATAATGACTAATTTATTTTGAATCACTTTTTTATAATTAAATTATTTGAATAATATTTTTTTAAAATAGGTTGAAGATTGATTCACAATGATAGTTTGTAATTTTCTTTTAACCTTAAAAAATTTATATAATGATTAATAAACTTAGATCTGGTTTATGAAATTTGTTATTGAAATACACTTTTTCGCTATCCTATCCTTTTCTTCGAAGTTCTTATTTTATAATAATCGCGCACAAGGAACTCAGCTTTATCAATATATTAATCATTGAGTTTATTAGTTAAATCTTGATATTTACTGGCGAAATTGATATCTGGGTAGCTTTCCTATTTAATGTCTGATGACCTAATTAGTGTTATTAAACGGCTCTTTTTGAGCCGATTTTTAAAAACGACTAACTCAATATTTCATCCTGAATAATATTAAGCAAGACTGAAGATTTTGTTTGTAGAAGGAACAAAGGTTTGAACATCTATTAAAAAATCTCAAGGCTTAGGCAATATTTTCTGGCTAAAATATTGAGTTAGCCGTTTTTAAAAATCGACTCAAAATGAGCCGTTTAACAACACTAGACCTAATATTTATAAATTTAACAATCAATTTTGGCAGGGTTAGCAGTCAGTCAATTGACCAGTCAAATGAATAGATTTTGACGGGTCAAGGGGGAATATTTGACCTGGTCATATAGTCAAATATTCTATAAGATCTGAATATAAAAATATGTTTGAAAAAGAAAAAACGATATAAATACATGTGATCACAATACTGCTATTTATTGAGTTCCTAATATTAAGGAGAGCATTTTACTCATAGTGAATTTAATGAAGTATGTAATATAATAAGAGAATTAGGCATACTACAGGTGGTGATCAAAATATTTCAAGTTATATTTTACGATCATTATAGATATCTTTTTATCTTTTCTGTTTATTTGAGAAGGGGGGGGGACGTGATTTAGTATAATATCTCGCCATGAATCTCAATTAATTTAAATATAATATTTTGATTTGGGTTCTTATTGAATAAATAATTTTATATAATAAAAATATAGCCACACTTATAAAAATTAACAAATAATTGATGACATAATTGATAAATTATATAACGATTAAAAAAAAAGTATTGCCGAAATTTAAAAAAAAACATTTTCTCGTCTGGTTGGTGCCATTCCCTTGGTTATAAATTATAAATATTTTCGCCATTCTTTCCTCTTTATTTCAGAGTCTTATAAAATACAATAATAAAAATTTTGTTTGTTTTTATATTATAGGCTCAAATTTTTTATATTTGCATTATTTTTTGTGACAAAAATATAGGAAGGTCTACTTTGGTATAAAATTTAGCAAGCTACATACCGACTCACAATGCTCTACTTTTTCCTTCACATATTCAATAAATAAAAAAATCATTTTTTAAAAAACTTTTTATAATTAGATTTATTTTGTAAGGATATTTATTCTAAATGTGAATTAGATATCAAAAAATATGGCCTAAAGGGATCTATTAAAATAAGATAATACGCTATACCATTTCCTATTTTAACTTAAGAAAAGGACTGTGGAGAATATAATCAGGGGCTTGTATACATATCTATAAATGATATCAACCCTCTCAAAACTTTTAACCACCTACCAAATAAAAATAATTAAAAAAAGAAAATACAATTCATCCCTTTCCAATTTTATTCAAATAATGATAATTATTTCATAACTAACTATCCCCCCCTCTAATTTCAATGATGCTTCTCTAATGAGTTCGCAGTTCAAGTTACGATGGAAAAAAAATTGCTTGAATTAATTTTGTTATATTATAGCTCTAAAATTCCTTAAGGTTCATAATTATTTAAATATTTGCATTTTGTTAACTTTTTTAAATATACTATATTCTCATTTGATTTGATAACAATGTAATTGAGCTTAGGTGGCTTCATGTCATGAATAATAAAAATAAAATTAAAATTAAAATACATCATTTTTTTTGGTTTTTTTTTAAAAAATATTTTTATTTACCCGCGAAGAGTGGCATTAAAAATTAAAAAATCTCGCTGAATAATAATAAATATAAATTTTTTTATGAAAACTAGATTTAAGAAATTTACGTAAGAAATGTATATGAGATGTCTTACCTTTTCACTTATTACAAAGAACTTATAGGAATTTTGAGTTATTTTCTCTATAACATCCACCAATAATTTTAAAATCATTCTTCGCTAGGCTTTATTTTAATTGTATGCGGTTTTAGATGAAATAATTAAAATGCTAATGTAATTATAAACGATTTATATTAATTATGGAGAATATGGTAAGAATAACTATTATCAGCTTGGATTTTACAGTTTATAAAATCGTTTTTAAATAAGTGTTCTGAACAGTGGCGTAGACAAAGGGGAAGAGCTAAACCTCCCTCACTGGGAAATATGATTAATGACAACTTTCTTGTAAATTGATAAAACTCCTTCCATAGTCTAAAGAAAATTCTTATTTAAAAAACAACAAAAAAAAATCTTACAAATCTAGGAATAAACAATACCATCATTTTATTTTATAATCCATTTTCACAATTTTTTTTACAAATTATAATTATAAAACTAAATGCTTCTCAGAGAGGTTAAGCGCACTTAATATTACGTTATTAAACAATAGCTCAACCTATTCACTTGATGAAAATAATTAGCTATCCTAATTGTTTTAAATTTTACCATAACCAATCCTTCTCATTTTGATATAACTTTTCCAAAGTTGCCGCAAGTTATGTCATCTGTCGGAAAAGTTTCCAAGCTTAATTTTCTTTTGGCTAAAATATCGAGTATCTTTAAATCCTCATATTTTGAAATAGGAAAAAAGTTGGTTTTATAAATAAATATAGTAATATTTTTTTAAGATATTTCATTTAATTTTTTTTATTATAATTGCTTTCTTTAGATTCTTTGTTTAATCTTATAATGTTTCAAATTTTTGAAATCCTAATACTTTTTGGTTCATACTTAAAGGTTTGCTATTGTCTATTTCGCTTATTAAAACTTATTGACTGGAAAAACTGATTGATGTAATACTAAGTAATAATCTGGCATTTCTTATAATAGAGCTTACCCAAAAATATTTGTTTGTTTTCGCATGTTGTTAATCTTAGCAATTTTATCTTATTTTGTCAGTAAAAACTATCTACCAAATGAATTGAAGAATCAATGTAATAATTATTAATTTAAGTTCCAGATTTATTGCTTCCAGAAATTTGGTTGATTTTACGCTTTAATGGGTGATATAGATTTTATTTTTCTTATAGCACGGTTGCCTTTTTGTGTGTGAAAAAAATGACTGAAGAATTAATAAATATTAGCGCAAACCAGCTATTTTCCATTCCATCAATAATGCCTGAATTAGGCAATTTTTCTTATTTTGCTAATAAACTTTTTCTTTATACTGTCTAAACGAATTAAATTATAATTAATAAGGAACATCGATAAAATTTTCGGAATAAATTATTTCAGTCGCTTAAACCATAGATTTGCCAAAATTTTGTTACTAATAGTTTTTTTCCTTTTACTAGCTATTATACTCGTTTAAGTACTCAATTGGTACTAATAAAGCAAGAAATATTGATATAATTTACAATTAGTTCGTAGAACTATACAGTCGCCAAATTTAATGGCGATGATATTAAGTATATAAATCCTGTCTATGCCACTGTTCTGATACACAAGTTGAAGCGATAAAGAAATTGCTCAGAATTATCAAATTATTATGGTAATTATAGATATAAATATCTTAAACATGATATTTAAAGAAATTCGAATATTATGAAAGAATTAAATAAAAATGTAAATATAAGCCTTCCTGATATTGGAATATCTTTATTTTCTTGATTTGGAACATTTTCTATTTATTTTCAAAAAATCCTAATTTATTTTAATTCCATTTTATTAGAAAAAATGAGTAAAAGTGCTTACAAATTGAGAAGGAGCGTTTAGCGGTGTTTTCATAAAAACGCCTGATTTAAATTGAACTGGTATTATTTTATAAAATGATGAAAACTATTATACGTTTTTTTAATTTTTATATTGTTTAGTTAGACTTGTGAAATCAGCAAAAATAAAAAACTAAAATAACTAGATCTAATGATTTATTTCCATAATTTATTCTTCATAAATATTACAATGTAATCCAATAGAATATTTTGAATTTTTTTTTTGATAATTATAACTTTTCAGTTATTTCTATTTATTAAAATGCGAAAAGAAGAAAAAGGAGAGGTCAAAATATTCAAATAAATTAGTTACTATTATATCAGAAAGTTATATCGATGTGCATTATCTAAAAATTATAATTAGTAGGCATTAATTATCAGTAAAATCTTCTATAATTTTTAAAAATAATCTGAGAAAATCAATAAAAAATTCTTAGCTCTCTATATAATTTTTCATCTAGATTGGAAAAAAGGTATATCAGAAAATTTTCTTTAAATGACATAAAGCACATGGGGGGGGGGTTAACTTACTCTGGTAAAAACTTAACCCAAAATGTCCCCTCCATACTTACAACCATGAATGAGTGAGACCTGAAAGAGTAATGTATTTTGTATCACATCAGATAAATGTTACATGCTTATTAAATAAACAATACGTAATAAAATATTCTTAAAACATTCGCGTTTATGATTTAAGAAACTTCGGTTGGTAAATTGATATTGAATATATCAATTTCACTTAAAATGAATTCGTAATTTTCGGTCATGCGCTCGCTATAATAATTTCGCGCACATACATTCGCGGTAGAAAATTCGCTATAAAGAGTTGGCGTTCGCTAAAATTTATTCGCTCTAAAGTATTCGCGGTTTAGGTTTCGCGGAAATAAATTCGCGATAATGAGTTCGCGATCAAAGTTTCGCTATAATGTATTAGCTATAAAGTATTCGCGGTTAAAGTTTCGCGGAAATAAATTCGCTATAACGAGTTCGCGATCAAAGTTTCGCTAAAATGTATTCGCTATAAAGTATTCGTGGTTAAGGTTTCGCGGAAATAAATTCGCTATAACGAGTTCGCGATCAAAGTTTCGCTATAATGTATTCGCTATAAAGTATTCGCGGTCAAGGTTTCGCGGAAATAAATTCGCGATAATAAGTTCGCGATATTGTCTTCGCTATAAAAGTTTCGCGGAAAAAAATTCGCGGAATTGGTTTCGCGATATTGCCTTCGCTATAAAATTCCTTCGCGATAAACGACATTCGCGATAAAAGTTTTGCGAAAAAGTGTTTCGCGATAAAAGTTTCGCTGAATTGACCTGATACGTAAAATGATCACTAATCATAGATCTTAAACTAGGACCTAATTAAGGCGTGTAGCTTCCATGCGTTTAAAAGTTCTAGTTAGGGTGTAGCATTAATCGACTATAAATTTATTTATTATTAGAAAGCATCACCTCTACAAGGTAGAAGGAGCATAAATTGTTCTAAATCAACAGTGTGTTAAGTTTTTAATCAATTAACGAAATGGAAAATAATATAAAGTGATCAATACATATGTTTTATTTAGTGTTGTACAAGTTACTTTCTTTAAGAAAAAGTAAATAGTTATGATATATTTCAAGAGTAACTAGTTAAATTTCAAGAGTAAAGTAACTAGTTGCATTTCAAGTTACTTTATGAATTATTTATCTTCTATAATTTTATTATTATATAGAATAAAATTTTTTAAAAAATAAAATTTTAAGAAATTATAAATTGGATTGTAGAAAATATGATACAATGTAATATTTATTTTAGAGATGTCGAAAAATTGTGCAAAATATATGAGCCAAACAGAAGTTTTCAAAATGTTTTTAACGCTAATAACTAGGCAATAATTATCATGGGCAACCTCAATTTGCACAGAAGAAAATACGCCAATATATTATTTATTTGCCCCGAATTTATTTATAAAAATTTGGGTTAATATATTTTTATTTGATTTTAAAAATAAACTATTTTTAAAATTAATGCCTAAAAAACTTGCTCTTTTTTCAAAAAATAAACTTCCTTAAACAAATTTTCTACGGGGGGCGCTTGAAGTGAACCCTTATATTTAATAAATAATAGTTAGTTTGGAATCATCATATAAAAATAAATAAATATTTCACAGAGTAACTCGTTACCTATGTCGTTACATTCTAAAAAAGGTTACTTTACCAACATAAGTTTTATTATATAATATAGCCCTCCTCCCTCCCATTTTCCTATGTATTTAATTTAAAATATATATTACCAATAACAAACGTGGCTATGAAGAGCAAATATGTATTCGTTGAAAATTTCTATGGGTTTTTCTTGAAGAGCAAAATCGATGCGCCTACCAGCGTTCATATTTCCCATCACGATGTTTGGATCTTCGGTTTCTGTTAAAGGGGTAGGTTGTTCGGGATAATGGCTAAAATTCTCTCTGGTACGGCTAGAAATGGAGCCATTAGCTATAGCTAAAAAAGAATGTTAAAAATAAATTATTAATATAATTGTATTATAAACCGGGAGCTATTCAGTTAATCTTTATTAATATACAGTAGCTTATGGGTGTTGAATTATAAACTGCCTATCATTTATCTTCGAAAAGGGGGGGGGGATTCAACCGTTGAGCATTAGTTGAAAAAAAATAACGCGAGTGGTGTGAGTATGGATCCAATTTTCAAACTGAATCTATTTTTCGTCGTGATGTTATAAAAAAACATTCATCCATTTTAATATATAATTATTTCAAAACTCGATCCAATATAATAACAATTTTATAAGAGTTATTATAGTCAGTCAAGAAAAATTAAAAATCGTTTTAGCACAAAATAAATAATAATCATTATTTTTTTATCGTTTATAATAAATTAAAAATGATTTCTAATTCTAACCCAACACTCCCATTTATAATAAATTATAGCATTTAAAAAATTTAATCTGATTCTTGATATCTCCAAAAGCATTAATCAAATGTAAATTAAAAATCGCATACATGTTACATTGTTTAGCCAAAATAATTAAGTTCCCAAGGAATTTTCTCAAGGGTTAATATTCTTTTTAAATAAAAAATTGCATATAAAAAAGTATCGCAAACTTCAAATTTATTTAATAATATTTTGGTATGATAAAAGCCCCATTTTATGCTCAACAAAATGAATGGTATGATATAAAATAACAATTAAATAATATAGAATGTTGTAAATTCATAAATAACTTTTAAAAAATATATTGTTATAAGTTATAATTTAAGTTAACTTATAATAATAATGTTTGTTAAAAATAAGTCTATTGATCAGGGATGTGAACCCTTCGACAAAAAAAAGGGTCCAGGTCCGGGTCCAGTAATAAATTTAAAAAGGACCTGGGTCCAGGGTTCGGGTTCAGGGAACATAAAAATAATGACTCAAAATAAGACTTTTTTCATTCATTTTTTATTATACTTAGATATATACTAATTCATAATTCAAAATGAAATAATTTATATTTTAAATATTTTATTCAATCGCACAATCATGATATCTTCTAAAATATCATCCTTCAGATTTCCACGTAAATTTGACAATATATATTACAACGATGAAAATCCACGTTCTACACTTACCCAAATATATAATTCTGGATATAATGAAGAATTTTCCTCCCAGAATTTTAAAATATTTGTATCTCTATTTATTCTCTAAACTTCTGAGAACTTTTCTATTAAAGATATAATAGATATTTTTTGCTCCTTTCTATCTGATGATAATTTGATTTTTTTTTCTCTATATAATAGTAAAATTTCCAGATCATCAATATTGTTATCATTATCATTGTTATCGCTACAACCATTAGTAAATAATAGAGTTTTGGGTATGCCATAAATTCTCAAGATGGTCTATAGCTATTTGTTTTTGCTCAATACTTAATAAAACTTGATATCGAAGGTCTAAATATATTGAAGCATATAACACTATTTTGTAAATATTGTTGATATCTATTCATATTTTCTAATATACTTCATATGAAAAAGAACTTGTAAATCTTTCTAACTAATCGACATCTTATCCATTTGCCATAAATATCCGATAAACCTAACTGTTTTGCTTGCAATCTTAATGTAGTTATTGGAATCAACACACTAGTAAAGTCTTTTATTTAATTCCAATCATCTTCCGACAAAATGACTTTACATGCTCCTATAATAAAATCATTACAGAAATCTTTCAAACTTATTAATCGCTCTAACATCATAAAATAGAGGACAAACGTGTTGTGCAATCTAATATTGCCATTTGCCTATTCATTGATTTTAATATTCTTACAATTGTGGGAGCTCTTACATATTTTACAACATCCCTTGCTTTATCAATTATAGTTTTAAAGTGATTATTTTTTTGGGAATCATTAATAGCCAATTGTAGCGTATGGGCTGCACATCTGATACAGTATATTTTTATGGAGAAATTTTTTATTATTTCCTGTAAATCAATTTCACTTATGTCCTCATAATTATCATCATCATCTATATCATCCATTTCTTCCAGTGAATCATTTAATAATTTGATTGATTTTACTATATTAGCACCATTATCCGTAGTAATTTATAAACGTTTCTTATAGGAATATGAAATTTATTTAATGTTTTAAAATTATTCTTTTTATATTTTCAGAAGTTGAACTCTCTCTATTCTCCTTCATAGCTAAATTTCTTAATATTATATTATTTCCTTTTATATACTGTATATTTATTCCTAGAATATTTCTCCCTAATCTTTGGGTGGAATCAATTTTTAATGTTAATTTGTTTTTTGTTTCTTTCATTATTTTTGCTTGTATTTTTTTCGATTCATTATAAAATATTATTACTTACACTAGAAAATAATTTATGGTATCAATATCAATCTCTAAATAAAATGAAATGAAGTCCAGGAAGAAAAACGAAATAAAAACGCGAAGATAAAATAAATGATTCCACGAAAAAAATTAATAAAATTATAAAAATTTTATATTATTTTTTTAAAATAATATTTTTACATTATTTTTTAAAAAAATATTTTTACATTATTTTAAAAAAAATACTTTTATATTAAAATTTTTTTACCATGAACCATTGGACCCTCCACTTTTTAAAAGGGGGGTTCGGGTTCAGCCAAAATACGAGGGTTCAGGGTCCGGGTTCACATCCCTGCTATTGATGTCTCTTTATTTTTTTCCCATATATCGATTAGAGGTCGGTGCGCTACGGCCCTGCCCAGGAAATATATATTGTACAAGTTTCCCGGCTTGTAATAATTTTTTTTATAAAGAAAGACGACATAAATTTGCCCTAAATATCAGCTATAAAAACAGAAAAACGCCATAAAATGTGTTTAAATTATTTTCTAAATAAAACAGACTGAGCCAAACTCGAACCTAAAAGTACAAAAAAAAATGGGCCGGGTTTGGGCCTAAAAAATTAATTAAAATAGATTAAATTTGTTGTTTATATAGCTCGAAGATATCGTATTTAAAAAATGATTGGTCAAATCCAATCAGAAATTCCTATCTCACAGTTATGACTTGGGAGGAGGTATAATTTTAAGTATTTTATTTACATTTTAGCGCATCCTTTCCGGTAAATTCGGAATATGAACGTACCATACCACTGTCTGAATTTGCGTTTTCCTTGCTTTGGTCATCGTGGTCGATTAAATTTTCGAAAGATATATCTAAGGAGTTTGTGGCAGAATGGTACTTTTCGTTGCTCGGTTCTTCGATCAAGTTGTTGGTCGAATTGTCAAGGTTGGAGTGTAGGAGTAAAGGATTGTTTTTGAAATGCTTTTTTGAAATATAATTTTGCATCATTCAGTTAGGTTGGAAAAAGAGGTATAAAAAATATTTTAGTCATTTTTAGTTAAATTTAAAACTTTGTTAATATTTCATTTATATTTTTTGTTAAATTATTATTTTAAAACATAACCTTACCTCATATATATTGCTGGGAATCCCTTTAAATCTACTTAACTTTTAAATAATAGAATCTTTTGCATAAAATTGGCGATAAAAAGATTATATACTTCGTGCTTTCTAACCCTCTCCGCTAATTCTTTGATAAACGTTGGGTCACTAATTTGCAAAGATGGTCTAGAGGTTCTTCCTTCTCCCATGATACTTCGCTTCAAACCATTCAATACTCCCCTTTCCTCAGTATCTTTACATAAATATATAACCAACATCACATATTATGATGAAAAATATTAAAGAAGGCTTTTCGTACAACGGATTAAAATGAAACTCGGTATACGAGTGGTACAATTGAATGAGTATTAAATTGCCCAAATTTTTTTGATCTAGCCCGCGGGCGAAGATATAAACCCTAAAATTTCAACAAAATAAATATTGATATCTTTAATCATCACATCTCAAAAATGATCAAAGATCATAGAAGAACTACCAAGTTTTTGGTTGCCTCTATTAGATTTTAAATAATATTTTTAAGTTTTTTATTTTTTAAATTGATATATTATAAAAGGCACTTTGATTTTTTTTCCTATAAATATTTGTAAAAATTAATTTGTTACCTCTAACTATTTTTGAGATATTTAAGATTATAAGGCGCATTTATTAAATTTCCTTTTTTCTAAAAATAAATTTTAATGGTTCAATGAAGGTCTAAAAATAAATTTGTTTGTTTTATCACTAGTATTGCTAAAAGCCTCGATTTGAGCCGATTAAAAACTGCTAACTCAATATTTTAGCCCAGAAAAATATTACGCAAGACTAAAGATTTTGCTTATAAATAGCACAACATCTATTAGCGAAATTTCGAGGCTTAGGGAATTTTCTGGCTAAAATATTTAATTGGCCGTTTCTAAAAATCGACTCAAATCGAGCCGCTTAACAACACTATTTATCACTATTAATTAATTATATTAAATAAGAACTAAATTTTTAAACCCAGAGTTCGAATCAAAATATTTTGAATAATTTTTTGTTTCACTCTTTTGTTTATATTTTTAATGAAAAAATTCTGACTTTTATTTTAATATTTGGTCTTTTAATTGTTTGTGTTCTCATTTTTATATTTCATTTTAACACAGATCAAAATATTGATAAAATTTTTTGATCTACATATAGTATCACATATCTTAAAAAAATTCATAAAAAATTGTATCTACGGTGACTTTTTAATGTTCCTTGAATAAAACATTTGGGTCTAAAGATATCCTTTTTCATAAAAATTTTTTGAAACATCTCACATAAACAAAACGTCACACATTGGACATATATGTTGTCTACTTTATTTTACAAAGTCCTTGCGTGTTACAATTATGAATCTGATCTAATTTATTATGCTGGATAGAATCAAGAGGTTTTCTTGATTTGATGGATAGGGTAAACAGATGATTAACGCATCTTTATTATACTGTAGATTTCGTAGAATCATCTCGTCGTCGATTAAAAATATTCCAAATTGCTGTAGATTTTTCAGCCCGTTCAAAAAACCGTTTGAAATTTGGAAAGTGGTTTTTCGACATATTTAAAAAAATAAAAAATATCTTCGTCTTGAGACCAATATATGAATTCTGTCTAACGTTTTATTCCGTTTTATTTATCAAAATTGAAACATAAGACATGAGTATCATGAAATAAACGAAACATGAATAGGATAAATCTGAGCTAAAATTGGTAGTGATTCCAGAGTAAAATGAACAATTTTTACATCTTTTTACATATGGCTTTTTCTTTTTGCTGGTAAGTTTTATCTTGGTTATGAACCTCGATTTCTTCTATATTTTGATCTCCTGGCCAGCATTATTCCCCTAACCCTCTTTCGGTATTATAACTTATATTGTCTAGTGGTGAGATGATTATCGAGTAAAATAGTCCAAGACACTTTTTAAATGAGAATTTATCATCCTATAATAAAAAATTTCAATATGTTAGGTCCAAATATTTTATTTTTGGAGCAAAAATATATATTAGTTATATTTCCGAAACATGAGTGGAGTAAAGGTAAAATTTATCAGGCCTATAGATCTTGATATCCGCAATAAGAATATACAATTTTTTTTAGTTTAATTGGGTGCAAAGAGCTAATTTTTAAAAATAGAAATCACAATTTTTAATGCTATGATGAAGATCAATGATTATTAAATATGCCCTACTCAATTCTTTCTACCACTAAAAATATAAACCGATCATTATACCTTCTTCTCCTTTCCCTCTCCAGGGATCGTTGGGTTCGACCAAGGACTGGCTCTCTGCGGAGTAACGGATAACGGAACCACGTTTTAGAAGACGGTCAAGAATAGAAGGAGTAGGCGGAACGGAAGCTACGCGTGAGACGGGTAGAGTGGTGGGTGTATTAGGCGGAACGGAGGCAACCCGTGATATGGGTAGAGTGGTAGAGCTAAAATTATTGGAATATACATTATATATACAAACATATTAGAAACTTTATAATTTTTATATATCCTATAAACAGAAAGATTTTTTAACAATTTAAAACCTTTTTTGATTTTCAATGGAGTTGTTTCCAATGAAAGATATGTGATGCAATGAATCCATTGTGTGCTTGAATGTTTGGTAAAGACTTTGCTTAAAATCGAATCTCATTTTGTTTAAGTTTTCTCTCAATTCTATTTTTTTATAAATATGGGTAATAACAAATACTATTAAAATATTAAATTAGCATTTTAGAATAAAAAAAAGAGTATGTAATAAAAAAGGGTCTAGAATTACAATATTTCGGAAGGATAATATCGCGTGACAGGATATCGAAATTTAAAAATTATCATAAAATTTGGAACAGGATGATTAAATAAATTGATCTTAAATAAAGGCATAACCAAAAAATTATCAATTATTTTATCGAACTAAAACTTTGAAATCAATAAACCAGGCAAGATATAAGATCTAATAAAAAATAAATAAATAAAATACCTATATGCATTCTTTTGCGTCCTTTATGATGAGGAATTAAGACAGGTTTAAGTTTCGGGAAGGGTAAAATTAGGGGTTCTATGCGAAAGGCTACCGGATCGTAAGGGTGAAATATGTTGTAAAAATGAGGGCAAGTGGGAAGAGAATATTTCTCGCCAATCAATTCAATGCCTCTGATTGTCAGGAACAACCCTTTTTTGTGCAAATTAAAGTTGATAAACTTCAAACTTACTACAATATAGAATCAAGAATTTTAATATAACTCATAATTATAACCAAAAAAATAAATTAAATATTTTTTTGTTTGAAATATTCTTTCGTATTTTTATTTAGATTATAAATTCGCCAGAGCTTTTTTATCGACGATTCGAGTTAAAAAAAATTTTTTTTACTCTAATTGAGAGCATACATTAATATTTAATTTTTCTGTAAATTTCATTTTCTCTATTCTCTTTTGCGCTCAATACTATCATTCATAAATAACATTGAACTATTTAGATTGCTTAATAAATAAGGTTTAACCTACCTATAGGAGATCCCATTGCAAAGAAACAAACTGGTTCAAAGGCCAATCGATCGTAGGTCACGTATGGCTGGCCTGTCCCGGCTAGACCGGCTCGGGATAAAATTGAATTCTCGATGGAAAGCTTGGGGGCTGAGGTGTACTTCTGCCTAACCTGTATCCAACAAATAAATATATGAGAATGCTAAATTATGTCTATATTGATATAACAAATATATTTAACCAATTAAACCTTTCTGGAATAGGAAGGATGCCTAGTAACGTGCTTCAAAATTTTAAGCCTCGGCCCTAAGGGAATTCCTAAGGCTTTTAAATCGTTATCGTCGCAGAGAAGCTTTATTATATATATATATATCTTAAAAAACAAGCAAATAACTAAAAACAATCCTGTGATCAATTTATTTAAACATTGTAATTGAACTCTTTAATCTTTAGAATATAAAATAAATTAGGCGACAATGGAAGACTAATTAAAAATTTTAGTATATGCAAAAAAATTTGATCGATAAATTATTAGACTTATTGGATAATTTAAATAATATTGAATAAAAACGTTAACATGCCAAAGAAAAGCAACCGAAATAGGTGTGCCTGCTTTTTACATAAAAAATAGTAATATTTATGTAACATAATTATTTAGCCATGGGTTTTTTAAAAGCTAAAATCCTATTTTAAACTTTAATACTAAAAAAAAATATAATTATAATTTTTATATTATATAACATTTAATTGTTTGTTACATATAATAAGAGCCAGAGTTGGGCAGGTCCTCCGGAAAAATAATCTAAATACAGATACAGATTCTTTGTGAAAAAATGAATCTTAGATTTTCCAAAATATCAAAAAGATACTTGTATCTTTTGCCTAATTAAAGTATCTTAAATACAAGATACTTTTAAATTATCATTACCAATAATAGTTTATAAAATACATTAGTAATAGCCCATTTTTAGCATAGATAGGGAAGGGAGATTAGTATTTTTAATGTGAGTTGAAATATTAATTTGCAAGAGAGTATTAATTGATTCATTATTTTATAAGATAATCAAATTTTTCAAATAATTTATCATTAGACCTTTGCCGTTTCGGCGTGCTCAACATTATGCCAAAATTAAATAACTTTCAATTAGAGCTGATGAAGGTATTGCCGTATTATAAAAAAAATTCCTTAATGGAAGGACAATAATTAAGCATTTATAATGTATTTCGACTTTCTTTCATATAATTTAAAACCTCCAGTTCAATGTTATATGCATTATTGAACTTAGCAACATTTGTTTCACCAAATGAAAAAAAATTACCATTTTCTTTCTTAGATGTTAAATCTATTGGTGTTATAGTTTGAGCTTGATAACGTTGGCTCTATATTTAGGGCTTCTTTTATTAATATATTTAGAAAGTTTTTTTTTATCACCCGACTCGATCCATAAGCTCTTAAAATATGGATGTGATATTGATGTCACAAAAGCCTCATTATATTCAAATGATAGGAAAATATTTTCTTAAAATCTTTTGCCCATACCATCTAGGGCAGCTTTTAAGAAAGGTAGTAGGCAATATTGTAACCTTGAATTTTTAAGATAACCTATGCCCCTTTTAACCACATAAATAATATACTTTAATATGTTTCAAAATTTGTATTTACCTTTATCATTTTTTTGTTTATACAGGTTTTACATCTAGCCTATACATTCTCTTTTTTAACTTTTATTTTTAAAAAATTTTTATATAAAATTTTAAGATTAGGATTTGATTCACGGGAAATTTCCATAATTTAAATTTCCCTTCTTCTTCACTACCATCAGTGTTAATCATCCTACAAATTAAAAAATATTACATAAAATTGGTAATGATATTCTATCGAGTTACATTTATATATAAAATATAATCTTAACTTATTTCGTTTTGGTGTAGTTATTTTTTCATCTATCTACCTTAATATGAGTTGTAAATTTTCAGCTAATTTTGATTGTTATTATATTTAAAATATGGCGGAAAAAAATAAGGAAATTAATACTTCTCGAAGAAAATAAGATATATATATTGGGATATGTAAAATTTTAAACATGAATATTAAAAAGAATCTGTATCTGTATCTTTTGTCAAATGGAAATGAAAAAGATATAAAATTCTTTTAAAATAGAGGATTTTAGATATAGATACTAGTATCTTATTAGAAATATTAAAAAGATACTGAGTACAAGATACAAAAGGATCTTGTATCTTAGATACAAGTATTCGCGGAACTGCCCAACGCATGTTTTTAAGGGTTTGTTATAAAAAACTTGTTGGCAAAAATAAGTTTTTCTAAAAAACGCATTTGAAATAAAATGGATGAAATCGTAATAATAAAAATTTGTATAATCTTATAACCCGGGTCGGGTTTTAAATTTGGTCATTCAATAATTTTTATAGCATTTTGTAAATGGTTTAAAAGAAAAATCGAAAATGTAAGAAGCAAATGTTTAAATGATCCATCATGATTGATATATTTAATATTTATTTTTAAATTTAAGCCTGGCCTGGGGTTGTAATTAGGGCTGTGCCAATATTAAATATCGGATCGGCACCGATATTTAGCGTTTTTCAACAATATAGGATCGGGTCGATACCTGTAAAAACCGATCTGATTTTTTTACTTTTCTTTTTTTTATTATTTTATGTTATGTATATTTATTTTACATTATTATATTATTTTCTAAAAATTTTAAAAATGCAATGTAAATGCACAACAACTTCTAAATTTTATTTCTTTTTTAGATAGATTTATAGTATTTTAAAAGTTTTTTTATAAAAATAGAAAGGAATTCCCAAAGTTTTATTTATTTTAAATCTTTTTAAATAATAACGCCAATTTTATTATTTATATTTTAAATAAAAGAATTTTTTTAAATATATGGTATCTGAATTATGGAAATATTTTATAAAAGACAAAGATAATTTTGCAAAATGCGTTATCATCTTAGTCTATCTTAAATACGGCAGGGGATATAGATAGTCCATATCGTAGAAGCTTATTGCCAGAAAATCTAGAGGCTCTCATATTTATTAAAATAATCTAATATAGATTTTATAATTTAAATATTACAATTTTATAATTCATACCAACATAAAATGGATATATTATTAAATATATATTTTTTTAATTAGCCTTAATTGTAGAAATAAAAAAAATTAAATTAAATGCATAATTCAATTTTTTGCTTAAAAATATTGATTTATTAATTACATTTGGTTCAATGGGGGGTGGTGCAAAATCAGTATAAATATCAGATCGGTATCGGATCGGTTTTAGGCAATATTGGAAAATACCGGATAGGATCGGTGAAAAATGTGGATCGGCACAGCTCTAATTATAATATTCTTTTATTTTAAAGCTCGGTTCTACCTATGCCAAGAACGGACTTTAAAAATCATTCAAATTTTACATTTAGTGCATGCCTGCTAGCGATTTTTTTTTAAAACATGTCATCTTGGTTAGCACTATAAGAATTAATATTTCTTATATAAGTGGGAAAGACTCCAAATGATACTGATCCCAATTCAATTTTTTGACCAAAAGTGAAGGTTGGAACCCTATAATAATTAAATGTAGATATCACATTTTAACTTAAAAAGTCGTGTTTTTCGTCTCTAAATTCTATAAATGAAATAATATTTACGATACCAATGCTTCAAAATCCATTCGTTCTCTCTCCAAAATAGCAATCCATTCCTGGTCTAAATTTAAGTCGTTCTTAAGAAAATCGTTTAAATTAACGGGTTTCTCTTGTTGAAGATAACCAGTATTCCCCGGATTTTCGGACTGAGGTTGAACAATTAATGATTTTTTGGGTAAAATTATCAGGTCGCTGCTGGTTCCGTCCAATGATTGTACTTCGGTCGCCTCGTCCCCTATAGTAAATGAAGGCCTCTTTTCTTGTTTTTTTTGTCGTGACATGAATATTTGATTTCATGGTAGTTGGAGAAAGAATTTTTTTTTCGAGAAGATTTAAAAAAATTTTTTAGAGTGGATTCGTTTCGTAAATTTACTATTTCTTTTTTCGATTGATTATTGAATTTGAGTTTAAAAAGATAATAAATATTGTTTTTTTGAAATAAATGGGTAAACTATATATTATTTGCCATTGATTAAATCTTTTAATATCATATCAAAAAAGGATTAAGTGTATTATTGTATAATATAACCATAACGTTACAACGTAAAGTTAGATTAGACATTTAAATAAATTAAAATTAGTATGTTTCATGACAAACTTGTCTGAAATATATAAGATGGGTTTTTCTTCATATATGAACACATTCTCGGTAAAATCAGATGTTTAAACAAAAGCTATAAAACGACCTTGAAGAAAATTAAAATATTTGATGCCTTAGAAGCCAAAGAATAAATATTTTTCCAATTGGGATAAAATATAGTTCAATATTTATATTATTTTATAATTTAAAATATGGATGATAGATCAATTCTAATATTTAAAGCGACGAGGATAATTTATAAGTTGTTAAAAAATTAAAAACCTTGATCCGTTTTGTAATCAATTTTTGAATCGTCTAAAGATTCTTCCGAAAATTTTGAGCGCGCCGTTTGATGGCTAAGCAAGTCAAAGGCTATCAGGGATCCTTATTTTTTTTTTAAAAAAATTTAAATATGATATGGTGTAATAGAAATCAGGATTCAATAAAATAAAAGTATTAAAAAATGAATTGAATGAATTTTTCGTGAAAAATCTAGATAATTTTCTATAAGTATTGATTCATCATAACATAAGTGTAGTAGAATTATTATTTTCTTAAAAACTAAATTTTTTTTCTATATTTAGACATAATACAACAAAGTCTCATAATATTAATACCCCTCCCTCTATAATTTTATCATTAAGAGACATTATGTGAAGTGTAATCTAGCCTCTAAACAATTTAATCGCTCTCTGACGGATATTTTAATTTGGACCCAAAAATGCCCATATTTAAAAAACCATCAATTTAAAAAAACCTAAACTATGTCCTATAACGGATACAGTTCCATCGAACCCTGGATTCCTATCCATGAACAATTGATAGAGTCGATTGAGTTCGTTCCCAACCGTGTCTATGATGGTCTATTCTCAAATATAAAAAAACGGTATTTATTAGTGGGTTAAAAGTTAATGTTTTCATTAATTTGTTACACCGTTGTTTGATTATTATATAGTTTAAAATCAAACTTTTCCCAATTTTACATTCATTTTAAAAAAGAGTATTCTATCATTTAAAAATAAAACATGTCAATTAAATACGAATCTTTTCGTGCATCATTATTTTTCAATGTAAAAAATTGGCCGGGTCTAGCTTTTTCCCTAGTGGAACAAACATTATTTAGCCGTCCTTTAAATATTGAGTTTTCGTTCCTCATATCCCCATTCAACCAGGGATATTATAATTATTTTATATATAACTGTATTTGGTCATCAAAAACAGTTTGACTTAAAAAAATATTTTTATTAACAGTTAAAATTGATTTTCCACAAAATTTGCTTTCAAATTATAATTGCTCTGCTATTCTAGAGTTGTTATAAACATAGTGTTAAACCCTTAAATAGGATCCAAACTAAAATAGAAAAATAAATAAAAAATAATATTTAAAAGACAAGTAAAATTAGAGGATATATCTAGTAGAAGTCAGCATGAGCCGATTCGGCCCGTAAATATTATTTTATCAGGGTTTTCTGCCCGGCGCGTAAAATATATAAAGTTGTTCAGCCTCGCCTGTTTTAATATTTTATGAACATAATTTGTTTAATTATCAGCTTTAAAAAAAAATTAAAAAGCTCAGGCCCGCTTGTAAAAATAGTACAATTTTCCCGAACGGCCGCGCTGATTTTTAATATTTTTATATTCATTGCCGATCATAAAGCGACATTCATTACTGACCTCGATAAGGTGATGGTTGGATATAGCGATCAAAAAAACTCCTTGAGTAGCTTATGGAGATATTTCATAGTATATTATATTATATACTATACCATAGGCGTAGCTGGGGAAGGGGGCAAGGGGAAATTCCCCCCCCCCTTCAGAAATTTATCACTTTTTGTAAATATCATTTTTTAATAAAAAATATTCCCCTTAGTCCTCCCCCCACTCCCTGACCCTCAAATATGTATGCATATATTTTAAATAATAATTTGAAAGAAAGAATGTAAAAGTTGATATTTTTTTATAAAACTATTCATCATAATTTATAGATTTTTGGGAAATAAATTTATAAATATATAAAATGAACCAAAAATGTTTTTTAATAAATGGAATATAAGCCAAAGATAAGTTTTAAGACAGAAGTGAAATGTATTATAATTATTAATAATAGATCCATAAAATTACTAAATAATATAATATATCAAATATAATTTTTTATAAAAGAGTAATTTTAATTTATTTATCTTAATAAAAGTAAAATATAATTATAAAACTATTGATAAAATTAAATCATATATTAAAAAAATATTAAAGCACAATAGTGGAATATTATATGTCGTAGATTTACAGTATATCTAATTATCAAATGACAATCAAGTAATTTTTACCAATATAGCGAATTATATATTTCATCAGAAAATATCTTAAGACATTGTGGGATGAATAATATGAAGATTAAATTTAAATATCATTTTTACTTAAAATAAATAGATGGCGTTAAATAATTGAATGCAAATTGTTGCTATATTTAATATCAAGAGCATTGATTAGTAAAATTTGTTAAATTATTAACTGTGATTTATTCTCTAACTGTCAAAGATGTCTGTAAAAGTGGAATTTTACCTAGTATTTTATAACTAATTCTATATAATAGAGTAAAATCAACTATAATAAATAAATTTCTTATAATTGTTTGGAATAAATTATTACCATGCTCTTATATTAAGGTATATACAATACAAGTAATTTATTATATTTTTATTTTATATAAACTAATAAAAATATATTTCATATTTGTTCCAGGCTTATTTTTTTATTAAAATTTGTAAAAATATTTTATGACTAAAAGGGGGTCTGGGGGCGAAGCCCCCAATAATTTTGTAATTCCCCCCCCCTTATGAAAATCCTGGCTACGCCTATGTACTATACTAATAATAGTATAGGGGCATAAAGGATACTAACTTGACAATATATAGGGCTAGTGTAAAAGAGGATATCAACTAATGTGTCGTTGGTATAGTCTCTGAGTTTTTTAATGCTGGATAAGGTAATTGATTGCAAACGGCTTTAAAAATAAATAAAGTTTATACATATATATAGAATGAACTTCTAGCATAAGATGGGGGGGGGGATTTGTCGTCATTTAAATTGAAAGTAGGAAAGAAGGTTAAAAAACCTTTTAGAGGATAAACATGGTTGGCGTAAAAATACATATAATATTTGAGATATTATTGTAAAGTTCTCCTGGAAAAGTATTCCTTTTAAGAGCATTATGACTTTTTATTTTATTTTGCAATTTAAACATAATCTTGTCTTAAAAAGAATAGGAAGATATAGAAATCAATAAAATTATGCTTTGAGGAGTTGGATCTTAATAAGTTTTGTTGTTATAGTTGACTAATTAATATTTTTAAAATTTAATAACTATGTGTAAGAGTAGTATAGCTAAGTTAACCATTAGAAATCTGCAAATCCTAGCCCGATCTGTTAAGAATTTCTACACAAGCTGCTCGGCCCAACCTGGCCAGTTATAAATATTTTAAAAATTTACTGAACCTGGACAGTTAAAATTTTTCGAAAAGTCCGTCCCGGTCCGTTAAATATTTTTGTGCGAATTTTCCGACCATCACATTTTTTAGATCTATACCTAATCTTTTTCCCAATGTCAATTAAGGCTCTTATATCTCTCCTCTATGGCTATCTATTTCTTTCAACAACAATCGCTTTAAAATTTGTTTGATATCTGTATTCTGTTTGTAATTGGATCATATTATAAATAACTTGTTTAATTTTAAGATTTAGTATTTTAGTTAGGCAGCTCCTAAAATACAAAGAAGTAAGCATATTGTAATTTAATTTCAAATAGTATTAAAAAATATTTAGCTTGAAATTCAAAAATATATATCTAAATTCCCCTATATTAATATTTATGAAAAATCAGAAACTTGGGAGTTTTTTATGAATAAAGATTATCATACGACGCAAAATTTTTAACGGCCAGATCCCACCTATTATAACTTTTTTTAAAATTTGTCAGGTCCGGTTCACGCTTTGCAGATCTCTAGTAACTATTGAGAAGAAATAATTGTATAGTTAATTTAGTTTAGGTAAAAGTACGATTTCATTTAATTCTTGTAATATAAACTTTAAAAGTAACTAGCTATTTTAATTTCACAATAATGAATGTGTTTTTAATTAATAACTTTTTTCTAAAATTATCTTCCTCCAAGGCATTATTTATTTTTATTTTTACATTGGAAAATTTTATTTAAATAAAAAAAAACCCTAGTACATTCAGAACTAAATTGTAGTATCAATATCTAATAAATAGCTATCCTACCCCTCGCCACCCCACTTTCCCCATAAATTAGCTAACTATTTATGTCTTAAATTATAATCAATTTCTTCCAGTTACCACAATGTGGTGTATTATTTTGCATAAAAAAAATACCTGTCAACTCCAGTTGATTCACTATGTAAAATTTTGTGCCAATTACAGGGTATAAATTCGACTCGCCCAATTAGCCCCTTCTCCAAATATTGCTTGAAGTGAGACTTTAGCAGGTTGGCACTCATATCCCTCATCCCATCGACTATATTAGGTTAGAAAAGTTAATATAACTATATATTAATCAGAGACCAGTCAGGTCCGTGCTAAATCCCGGTCCAGACGTAAAATATGAATTAAAATTAGGAATTTAAGAATACTAAGGTCAATGGTAACGCTACATTTTGAACCCACCAGAGTCGGAACTCGGCAAAGTTTCAAATTATTTTATTTAGATATGTTTTTCAAGAAATATATTGTTTATTTCTGGGATCTTTTTGCTTTCTTTAATAAATAATACTTTTTCCTTAATCTAATATTAATATTTTTTTCAGATTGGTTTATGTTAAACGGATTAAATCTATTTCAGTAACAATAAAATCTTTGAAAATCAATAAAATTAAAGATTTTTTTTGAAGATCAAAAAAATTTGTGATTTAATCATGAAAGATTTTTTATGTATAAAAATTACAAACTATTTACTTATAAAAGATTTTGTACTGTAAAATTTAATCCAAAATTCTGTTTGAGCATTTTCAAAAAAATCTTCTTTTAAAAAAGTCTTCGAGATCAAAATCCTTGAATATATTTATCCTTTGAGAAAATGTTAAACTATGTTCAAAAAAGTTGGGAATTTATATCGGTTTGTTCGGTTTACAAATCGATATTTCCGTTCCGTTCCGATTTTTGTAATTTTTGGGTATTTAAAATTAAATTAAAAACTTGTAAAAACAAAAACTGAGCAAATATTTTAAAAAATAAGTTAAATTATTTTATTTTATTATAAAACATGCATTAAAATGACAAATTAAATAACATAATATAATCACATATATAAATTTATGCTAAATTAAATATTTTAACAAGTATAATTTCAAAAACCGTTATAAATCGGGTTAACCCGGTTAGAAGTTATTTAAAACATTTGGGCTCTCTCCAAAATTTTCTTATAACGGAGACGGTTCGGAAATTATAAAATATTCACTTGATAAAAAATTTAAATGCATTCTATGAAAAAAATTTTATTAAAGGAGAGAATGAATTTCCTATTTTATTATATCCTCCACAATCCTAAATCTTAATAAAATCCATATAAAGATAGATAAATATTTAATAAATATAAAATATATCATTCGATAAAAAATTTCTAAAAATGTATAAGCGGTTATATCGTTATTTTTCACATCGATGGCATTCCCTAAGGTGCATCCTAAAATATTTAAAATCCCACCTTTTCAATTCATATTAGTAGTGTCATTAAAAAGCACGATTAAGATTTTAGCAAAAATAATATTATGTAAGCCTAGAGATTTTGCTCATAGATGGAAGAAAGTTTTGAACCTCTAACTGCCAAATCTCGAGACTTACATAATATTATCTTGACTAAAATCTTAATCAGGCCATTTTTAAAAATCCAAATCGGACTTTTAACAACCCTGCATAAGACATTAGCCGTCTAAAATTTTTAAAAAACCTGGGCAGGAATGAAGCATAAATGCCTTAAAGTAAAATAAAATTTATTTTAAACGTAAACACACGATGGATCATTTAATAATACATTCGCTTCTTGTATCTTCGACTTGATAAAATTATTTAAAATGACCAAATTTTAAAGGTTAAGAAACAAAAAAATCCAGGAAAACCGATATTTTTAAATGGCCGACCCTGGATAAAAGTACTTTTACAGGTCTGCTGCTTTCCATATAGACATTTTCTGATAGAAAGATAACCAAATTGGATAATAATTAATAATTAGAAAAATATTAAAGGAGTTTATTTTGAAAATGTTTATCAAAAAAGGCGTACTTTTATAATTTAATTATAAATTTTAAAAGATTCGGAATTATTATATATTTTCGTTTTATCTTATTACCGCATTGGTTGATTGTGCGAAATTTGAAATCGCAATATTCCCCTATGCCGTGGATAACGAATATCACGTGATCTATGCGTGGCATCTCATCCTCTTTTATTCTATCGTAGTCTTCCACTCCCCTCTTGACTATAAGAGAGCTCGTCTTGCCATCCTTTCGTTCATTTATTTTTTGATACAAATAAATAACATGAAAAAGTATGTATTTAAAAGGCTTAATGAATTTAATAATTAGCTTTTCTTAATCGATTCGAATTGAATAGTTGAGTTCTATTGATATAAAGGTATGAGCTTAATAATTTATTATTCGTATTTGAACGAATTGAATAATTCATTAATCTAATTCGATTCGATTTAAATCAATTATTTTAAGTTTATAAAATCAAATGTATTTTTAAAAAAATCATGAGTGTTGTCAAACGTCTCGATTTTTAAAAACGCATAACCCAATATTTTAGCCAAATAATATTATGAAAGTCTAGAGATTTTGTTCAGATGGCAAAAAGGTTTGGACATCTATTAACAAAATATCGAGGTTTGCGTAATATTTTTGGCGAAAATATTAGGTTAGCAGTTTTAAAAAGCCGTTTCAAAAAATCGAGCCGTTTAACAACACTAAATGGGGATGTGATTTATTTTAAAATGGGCTCTATTGTATGATAGCAATCAAAATTAACCAGAATGATCTCATTTATCTTATTAACGCTATCCGAACGCAACTATGCCAAAAAAAATATCCGATTTTTTAGAACTGCAACATAAAAAAGAACACTGTGTCTCTAAAATAAAGTATAGAAAAATAATTTAATCCATATTGAATCAGACAAAAGCCCGTTTTCCAGATAACTTCTTTCAAATTGTTTCTTCTTTCAAGGATATTATATTATTTGTTATCATATTCGCCCACCGAAAATAGAAGCTCAGATGGTCTGAAGAACCTTATATATAATAATCTCTAGACATTTTATATAACAAGTGAAAACCATTTCTGGGGTAATTTCCATCATTTCGGTAATCTTTTATTCCACTTGTTCTCAATTTATTTAAGTAGATTTCCATCTTGTTTATTTTTTAAAATGTTTTTCTTATTTAAAATTTTAAAATTTGTTAAAAAACTTCTACCTTTATTTTTACAATCAGAGGGATAAAGAGGACCAATTTTAATTTTATATTAATATCAAAATTTTCCCGATATTAATCAAACGACTACGTATATATGGATAATAATAAAAATTAAAAGGCTATAAAAAAAATATAAAGCAAATGGTTCATGATTATAATATATAAGCTAAAAAATTTTATTATTATATTGTAAGGATGTAACAAGTGGAAAAAAATCAGAACATTTTAAGTTGGCAGTGAGGGATGTTGATGTGTCATCACAAAATCCGCAGTGAATCATGAAATCATCTCACGGATACGTTTCGAAATATAATCATTATTATATTAATAAATGAATACTCACAAAAAGTCTTAATTATATATTCAATGCGTTCTTAAATCAATTTTTTTTAAAAATAATTGTAAAAATAAAGCCTGTCCATGATCTCGAGCTTAGATTGATGGACAACCAATCTCCCGAATTCGTTTCAGCCGAACCCTGATTTTAAACTTTTCTCATTTGTGCCGGGCTGTATTCAAACTTCGATAAATAAATATTTTTTCCCCTAATGCTTTTATAAATATTCGTTTGCAACAAAAACACCAAAATTCCCTCTAGCAATCATAATTTTCGCGCGTTGCTTGAAAAAAATATATTTATTTATTATTATTACTTATCCAATATTTTTCTTTAATTATCTAATATAAGAGTTGTATAAATAATCGGATCGGTCAAATAATATGTTTTAAAATTTTCTCTGATCGAGCCAAACCTAAAAAAGTAAGTCTGACGCAGGAGCATATCATATTTATTTATAAGGATCATAGTTTTAAAAAAATTTAAAATATTTATTTTATACCTTATTTAATTAGGTTATCTGACAGGCCATTTTAAGATTTTTTGCTTATTTTTACGGGATATCCTAATTTTTATTTATTTCATTTTATAGTTAAGGGATGGGTAGAGTGAATTTTTTTTATATAACCTTGGCACTTCAAATATTTTCTTATCCATGTTTTAATCCATAGCAGTAGTTAACTCATGCGCCATTTAAGTTTAACCCCCCCCCCGCCCCCATTCCTCCTTCCATTAAACAGTAGAACTAATTTCGCAAAAAAATAAAATCCATATTATAAGTTTATCATGACCAAGTGCTAGAACGAATAAGTCAACTAATATTATCACTATTCTAAATTAGTATTAATCATGCTTATTAGTTCATTATAATCTGTAAAAACGGGAATTTAGGCTCTGCAAACCCATCCACCAGGTGGAGTTTAAATAACAAGTGGGTAGATGTTTTCTTAAAATATTTTACCCACAAGGGACAGGTTAGAAAATTTATTTCTAAAATCATGAGAAGACGTCAGATGAGAAAATTAAAATTTTAAACACTGAGAGGGGGGGTTGGAGGCTAGAACATGTTAATGAAAACTTTAGCGTGATTATCATACTTAGATGAATTTCTCAAATATAAATAAAACTATGTTATACTAGATTTCAATTTAAAAAAAATAGAGTATGGTCTACGTTAGAATAATAAATATAAGTAGATTTTTAATAATGTTAGAAGATCATATTTTCGCATTATATATAACAATTTTATAAAAATATCTAATGGATATTATAATAATTATAAATTATTACGAAAACGGCTCCCCATTCGTCTTTCCTGAGCATGGGTTTGAGATGAACCATGTGTTTGGGGTCGTGCATAATTATGCATTCCTTGAATGGCTCTAAATCGATCCGCCTATTCCATGAGTCGGATTGAATACCCCTTCTGTACTCTTCCTGATTTAAAAATTATTTATTTTTAACTCATTTAAATAAAATTATGGAGTCGTTCGATTAAATAAACAAAACGTCTTTTAAAAATTTGTCTCATGAAATTAATTTTGAATTTAAAGTGAGAACCAGGGATGTGAACCTGAACCCTCGTGTTTTTGCTGAACCCGAAACCCAAACATTTTTAAAGGTTGAGGGTTTGAGGGATTCAAAAAAAATTAAGAATTTCTTAAAATAATAAATTATATAAATATAAATTCATGAAAAATAAATCAATTTTGCATAATCATTTTTCATATTCATATTTTTCAAAGTTTTAATTTTTTGCCTTCATTTTATGAGTAAAGTAATATTATAAATAATAATTTAATATGCTATAAATAGGAATACATTGCTTATCTCGTTTTTATAGCAATTTTAAAAAAATATTGGGATAACATACAATAAAGTAAAATAAGATACGATCTAGATATTCAATAAATTTAAAATACGAGCAATTACGTCCTTTAAAATGAAATACATATTGTCATTTGTCTGGAAACCTTAGAGGATATTTTGGAGCATGTTATGATTGTTCGATTGAATAAAATATTTTAAATTAAAATATAAATTAATTTTTTAACTTTTTGCTAGCAAATTATTTTTATAAAAATGGTATTTAAATATTTTTTTATTTGATCTCAAAAATATTTATAAATATAATATTTCCTATATAATTTTAGGTAACTAGGAAAAAAAATAATAAGTGAATGACAGAAATATCTAGAAGTGTTAGCAGGGCTAGGAGTAACAACAAATATGTTTTCAATATTAAAAAAACTAAACATTAATAGAAGACCAAAATATATAAACCAACGCCCGACCCCAATTTTTACTATTAAATAACTTTATTGGCAATTAAAATAAAAAATATGGAAATGTTTTCCATCAAATCTGCACTATTAAATCAGATAAAATAATTTTAAAATATATGCATGAAATCGGGTCAATAATGTAGCAAATATTTTTTAATATTTCGAGAGAAAAAGAAGCAAAACAAATAGTATATTTTATTCCATATTTATACTTTCCTTTTTTCTTATCTTGACAAAATCGGAAGAAGCACTTTTAAGCTGGTTATAAAAATTCCCCAAAAAATAGAAAAACTTCCAATTTTTCAGCCAAATGATTAGAGTACGGGATGTATTTGTTGTCCCCGGCGGCGGCATCGACGTAAAACCAAGTGCATCTTCTGACCTCGCAACAAGCCGCGTCATTCTGATCGTCACGATTTAATCTATTACCAAGATCGCTGTCGAGAAATTGGTCTTGATTTGCCTTAATACCAGAGTCGGTATTATCGTAAGTTTCGGTCCAGTAAACGGCCTTTTTTTGCAATCGTAGGAGGTCGACATCGTATCGGCCACCATCGGTGTGAACCGTATATAGATTTTTGTTTTTGAGATTGGTTTGGGGATTGCTTGTAACTAATGTAAATATAAATTTATAACAGAGGTACATATATATTCATAACATTGATACATATAAATATATACCTATATTAGAGATCTGGGCGTCAGGGTTTAAATCATTTTGTAGACATCCGGGCTATGCCAGGCAAAAATAAAAAATATACAAACCCGAACATATCTGCAGATCTCTAGTATGTTATAACCTCGATTCGTCATTATTAACTGAAAAAATTTATTGGCTTAATAACCAGTCTACTGTAACGTGATAAAAAATTAGCCGCCTATGAATAGTAAATTTTATGTCGATTTCACGATATATGAAAAGGTGTTGGACTTAGTTACAGGGATATCCCTTTGTTAGTAGCTAGAATTTAAGGAAATTATGCTCTAAATCTAATTTTTTTAAAAATGGGATGATGTATAATAAACAAGAAATTAAGGGAAATATTTTTAATATTTTTTATAAAAAAGGTTTCCATTCGTCCTATTTTATTGACAGTCTAAAAACGTCTATCATTTATTAGGGGCAGCATTCCAAGAACTAATGTAGACATTCCAATACATTATTTGCAATGAAGCTTTAGAAATTAATAACTTTCAACGTGGGTAAAAATGTTGAATATTTTTTTGCAAACCATGTGTAAGCTTTAAAAATTTAATTTTCAGTGATAATTTTTCATTCGTTAAAATTACTAAGCTCAGCAAATTATGTCAAAACAAAATATAGTGAGTTTCAAGAACGTTTACTGTCACTCAATTTTTTTTATTTGAAATCAATAAAAATATTTGGATAAAAAAAAATTCATTGTTTATCTTTATTTATTTACGATAGGAGGGGGGGGGGGGTGAGGATTTTTATATTTGAATTGCTCCAATTTTATAAAAATTAGGAATATGAAATAACTAAATATTTTGTAAAAAAAAACTATATAATTTGAGCATCATTTTTATAAATATTATGGATTAGTAAAAGTTAAAGGTCCTGCGACCGTACCGATTTTCAAATTTTTAGGAATCAATTATTTTGATAAACTAAAATATAATAAAATAAGAAAGAAAGAAAAAATATGAATATAAATAGATTTTATTATTCGTATTCATTTTTAAATAGGCCTACTTAAAATAAGATTATGATTTATCAAATGTAATGTAAATTATTTATTATTATTTTACATAAACCTGATAATTATATTCATTCATACATAGGCATATTTATAGACTTTTAGTACAACATTAAATAGTACAATCGAAAACGAAAATGGTTATAAAATAATAGCCTAACGCGAAGTTCCTTAAAAAAAACTCAAAAAATTTATATTATAAATATAATTTTTTTAAAATACAGTAAGAATATCTAATTTGGGCACGTTGGGAACAAGCTTTTTGCCCAACTTAAGCAGTTACCAATTTATTGACTTTTTACTTTCTAAGAATTTGATTGGAACCTATTTTGGTCAAATTAGGGAGGCCAGAATTATCAAGAGCAAAAGTTTGACAAGTTTTACTGTAATATACCTTTTTAAAGGTTTATGTTCCTGGCAAAAATAACGTAAAATTGATTTTAAAGAGTGGAAATATATATTAATTAATTAAATGCCGGACAAAAAAAGATAGAGGAGAACACTCCTTGATAAAAATATATCGGACCTTGTCTCTTCTACAATTTACGTCATTCTCCAATATTAAATTTTTATAAATTGGATATTTGTCAGGTTTTATTTATCCGGGACATTTTTCTCCTTATTATAAAATTTAGATAAAAAATGCTTAAATTGATCCCTTAAAAAATCGATTTCTAAAAAGTTTCATAATACAGTAACATAGGTTATACATCGTTCCTAAATAATGATTCCTAGAGAAAGATTAAACTAAAAATTTCGAAAGTAAGAATGCATTACATGACCATGAGAAGAATTCTATTCCAATCTATTATCGTTGTAAAAAAAATCATAGAAGATAGCAATCGACAATATTTTAGTAAGATTTGTTTCATTTTTAAAAAAAAAATTCAATATGGAATATAAACTTTCATTCTTTTAATCCTTATTAATTTGTGAGGTGTTTTTATCATATGCCTTTTATATTTAAAAAATTAAATAAATATGCTATTTGGAATAGATTCTGCGCTGATTTTCAGCATTTTGACAATGAGCTGATTCTCTAAAATGCCTATTTTGGCCTACAAGCTGATTTCCTATATTAATCATAAATTCTTATTAAAATAATTTATGAGGCGATATTTCAGTAAAAAGAATCATCATTTAAAAATTATGCATTACAAGAATTTGTATAAATTAAGATTTAAAATTTTGATTTTGAACATACATATTCACACAACATTTGTAGAGACCTGCAAAATCAAAATTTCGTCTAAGCATGTCCACTGACTGATGGTAAAAAAATTACATCCAGGATTCATTATCCTTACAGATGTTAAATCTTTCCAGCCTCCTAATTTTTTAAAAATTTCTTATTATTTTAATTCATTTTATAAATATGACCATGCAAAAAATGAATAGGAAAGAAATTTAACCATTGGCAAGTCGGTCAATTGAGCGATCAAATTCAGTCAATTGACCGGAAGAGTATTTGACCTGGTCAAATACTATCAAATACTCTAAAATAATCTTTAAAAAAAATTAAAAATATGTTTAAAAAAGGAAAAAACAATATAAGTTGCTTATTTTTTTGGGTCCCCAATATCAAGGCATGTCACTAGTAGTGAATTCAATGAAATATATAATATAATTGAAGAATTACCCATTTTACAAGTGATGACCAAAATATTTTAAGTGATATAATTAATTTCAGAAGCAAAAAAGGCATGTTTAATAGCAAATTATGTGGAAAGCAGTAATTTCCATAAGAAGCAATTAATTCCGACCTAAAGTTAATGGATTAAACTTTGGCCACCATGCCTATCAATTCCTGGTTCTACTTCATCTTTAGAAAGAAGATTGATTTGGGTTAATATTCTTATGAAAATAAAAATCGATTGAAGATCTAGATATCAGGAAAATTGATTAAAAAAAAATACTAAAGAAAATGATAATATTGAATATGAATCAGAACAAGACTCGAATCTACTAAAGAGAGCTAAACATTAGTTACTGATTGACAATGAATTTAAAAAATTAATATTTTATTTACTATTATATTCAAAATAAAGTTAATATTGACTTAAAAAAACATGTATTTGAATTTGACCATATTTGATCGTATTTGACCATATTTGACCGGTCAAATGCACAACCCTGAATTTAACATTCATATCTCTCAGACAATTTTATTGATAGTGATGTAGACCAACCCTGCAGAACTTTATATAAAAATATTATATGATTGATAGTAATTGAAGATGGCTACTTTCTAAAAAAATATCAAACACTTTTATGAAAATAATTTTATTTTTTTGTATATATTGTTAATGGTATATTACGATTCTACAATAACTCCACCTAAAAGCTTTTTTAATTGTAATGTGTATAATGTATACTGTGGACTCATCATTATCTTAAATAATATATTTTTGGACCCATTTGGATTTTGAATAATTTTATCATGGTAAGTGGGAAGTAAATTATTAATTCATGAAAAGTTAAACTAAAGAAAAGTTCACAATTTTTTGAAATCATTTATGAATCCAGTGATTGAGGATGCACATCTCTAGTATATATGAAAGTAATTAATTAAGTTTGTACTTTTAAATTAAATATTTTTAAAATTAATGCTGTCTTAAAAAAAATTAAGATGCACAATTCCAGATTTCCCTGGCTTATCTAATATGATACTTTCATATCTTTCTTAAAAAAAATTAAGATGCACAATTCCAGATTTCTTAGGCTTATCTAATATGATACTTAAGTAGCTTCCAGATTTCCCAGGCTTATCTAATATGATACTTAAGTAGCCTGGGAAATCTGGAATTGTGCATCTTAATTTTTTTAAAGTAAAATATATTGTATATATGATTTACAATATCTGTATTTATGTTCAATCTTGATGGAATCATAAAGGGAAAAGGGTTCCCAAGTATACCCTTTATCGTCACACAATGTATTACTGTCATTGGCATCATTCTTGTCATCTGTTATATTGGGCACATTTAAATTAGTTTGGTCAAGAGGTGTATTATTGTCAGAAATCAAAGATGCTATCTTGAGACGTCTAAGTTTAGCTGCTGATTGGGCTTGTGGGTCTAAACATTTTTTTTGGTAAAACCAGTGTGGCTCAACTGGTTTATAAATTGCAGAATTAGTAGAAGAGGTTGTTGCTAAGTCTTCACGTGAGGGAAATGCTGAGGCACTCAATATAGGAGGTGGGGAGTTACTTGAATTAATATCATTTATAAAGTTGATACTCTCCAAATTTTTGGAAGACAAATCATCCTTGGGGAAAATGTTTGATTTATTGAATTGTATTTCTTTGCTAAAATTGACAATGGACTCAATATTTGATTTCCTACGAACCTTATGATGTTTCAAACTTTTATTTTCTTTGCTATTCTGTATGTTTTTATTTGATGCATTTTTTTTATCCTGTAAATAATTTGAAATGTGTGTCATGCTATTGTTGTTATGTGAAATATCATCAACATCCTTATTTGAAGTTGTCATAATAGAATTATAAAATTTTGAATATCTACGCCTATATTTAGGATCACATTTAAGTGATTTAATTAGATTGTCATCCTTTTCAATTACATCTGTATTTTTACCATCATTTTCATCAATGTAAGTTAGGACAATATCATCATCTAATTTTTGAAATATATATATTATATGTATTAATCAATAAAAAAAAGGTATGAAATACTAATATTTACAACTTACATTTATTGAACATATACATTTCTCAAAAAAAAAATAATATAAAAAATTGTATTAATAATTTATCTTTTATATGATTATTCAACCTCTAAATATAAAAAAAAATCAGATGTTTTGCATTATGATGTAAGCATTCATATGTATATGATTATAAAGTTTATCTATTCTCTTTAATCTTATTTTTTTTATCTTGCCAATTTCTTTATTAATCTGGTAATAAATTATATTGTTTAAAGTAATTATAAATCATAAACTTAAAATATGTTACCATATAAACCAAATACTCATGTAAGAAATGTGAATAATTTTATATGAAAAAAACATGTTATTGTCTTAACAGGGACTTCTAATCATGGGGGTGGGGTATAACGCAAAATCTTCATTAAAATTATAAGGAGCTGGAGTTATGAGAAAATGAAATTGGATTGGGGTAGTCTTAATTTAGTAGGAAGGGGCTGGGGGAAATTTTAAGGGGAGGTTCATAAATTTTAAAGGGAATAAAATGATTATTTATTGACTAATGGGGATGTAGAAGTCAGGGTTTTAATATTATCATGAAAATTTTTTATTACGACGTTTGAAAACAGCTGGTAGATAACTTCATTGTATAGCTGAAAATGTTAAAAATTTATAATGACATATTCGGTTATTAGATTTAATTTTATTTTCCCTAAGAACATTATAAAAAATATTCTATTTAAATAGATTTTCTTTTTACTTGTACCTAAACTATATTCTTAACAAATTTAACAAATATTCAACATCCAAAATTAAAATTTAATTTACTGTTTTCTCCATTTTAATCCGAGCAGCTACTTGACTCTATTACACACTTAGTCAAGTATTCAGGACCGGTCCCCATATTTAAACATCTGCAATTAATACTTGTTCTACCCTATTCTTTACTTTTATCTGTACCAGGCTGCTGTCTCACCTCATAACATTCTGCATATCGAACATCCCGCATATCGAACATCCCATACCCCATTTACCACCTCTCTTAAGCATAAACAAAAATATTTATTTTTTGCTTTATCAATTTTTATAACATAATAAATTCTGATAAGAGTTTACATAGTAAATGTCATTTATGCAAATTGGCCGGCATCTAATGATCAACTATCTATCGTTTATATATCATTAAAAATGGAAAATCCTTTAGAAATTTATTAACTCACAATAATTTTCCCGGTTACTTATCTAGTTTCATAATGTCATCTAAGTCTAACCACCAAATAGTTGATTAATGATAGATACTGTCTCAAGGTATTACCTATCAAATTTGTATTTGTATATTTTTTTGTATAGATACTACCAAATTTATTTATAATATAAATATATATGTCTGAAAAAACGATACTATTAAAAAGCGTCTGTGGCCTAGTTGGCCAGAGCGTCTCAACCCGGTAGTTTAGGTTCGAATCCCAACATAGATCATGTTTTTTTTTCTTATTCCAACTTGGTGGTTCCGTCCTTTGGGGGATGATATATAGGGGGTCTGACTCGACCACGTAATACCGTTATAATATATCTTAAATAATAAGGTTTTTATTATATTTTTATAATTATGATTGGTATTTAGCAAATTAGGTTGGTATATAGAAAATTTTTATGACTTGGCAGTATTTATTATTAACCCATATAGTCTTATGATTTAGATTAGTTGTTAATATTATCCTCTTTAAGAATTATTGATTTGATTAGGTCTACAAATTTTTCCTTATTAGCCAATTCTATAAAACATTGTCAAAAATGGTAATACATCGTTATATTAGTTTAATGACTTTTTGTCATAGGCTGCTAAGTGTGTGGTTTTCAAAAACCATTATCATTTGAGGTTAACCTTTTTTATCACTTGTAATTCTTTAGACCAAAATTTTTTTTATATTCGCAATCGAAAATATTTAATATTGTAAAAAATAGATAAATATTTTGTATTAAAAAATATTATATTTAAAAATGTCTTTTGTTTTTATTATTATTTGTATGCATAATAAATGACGAAGGATGTAATTCAGAATAATCGTTCAGAGTTTGCCAATTTCAATTAAAAAAGTATAATATTATATAAAACCCGGCCGAAGGCCAGCAAAATAGGGGGTATAGGGTCTTCGCCTTTCATAAATTTTTTTTTAGTTGAGCCCCCTGAGATTGTAAAGGCTATTGACGCCCTGCTATAATGTATTTAATAGAAGAGAATAACGGCTTAATTGTTAAAATTTTAGGCTTATTCATTACAAGATTATCAAAAATTATTTTGGCTTAATATTGTATTCTAAATATTAGCTAGACATAATTGCTTTATTTCATTCCTCTCTTAATTTTTTAGCTGTCTATGATTAAAATAATTTTGCTATTTTACACTTATATACAATTAAAGGCAATATAAATAAATACAATAAATCTAGAAAGTTGTCACAAGATATAAATAAGCATCTTAAAATATTTGATGTGTAATGCATATGTTTTTTTAAAGTAAATTAGTAAAATATTTTCACTGCATTTTAATCCTTCATAATTTTAATTTAGGATTATAATGGTAAAAAGTCTTGCAAATTATTTAGACATAATATTGTACTATTTTTAAAATACTTTATATAAATATTAATTAGACAATAATTAAGACTCCCTCTAAATATATCTATTAAAAACCATAAGTGATTATTTAGAAATGATTATCAAAATGAACTATCAACTAAGTATCATACTTTTCTAGAAAATTAAATAAATCTTATTATTTGTATAAAAAAAATAAAATTTCTAAGATCGGCGCTCCCTCTTTCATTGTAGATTGTGTGAAATTAATATTTTATTTTTTTCTAAATCCCTGCAGCCAACTAGAATTATAAAAATTGCAGCTATTTATAAAATTTAGAACTATCTCATCAAATGTTTTGCTGTAAATTCTATCTTTCTATCATAAAAAGGCCATTCAGGCTACAATTCCGTATCTGTGCAGGCCAAATTAACAATCCTGCCTTTGCTTACGGAAACCTAATTTTCGTGGTTGCTGGTATATTTATTTGTAAGACATTGTGATAATTTCGATTACATTCTATATATTATATTTTCTAATAACAAATTAAGCATAAAATAATAATTACGTGATACGTGAAATTAAGCACCTAGCCTCAGATAAAAAGAAAAACCCATAAGATTGGTATCAAGAATTTAAGAGATTGATGTAAATACAAAAATAATTTTTAATTATTTAATTATTTAGTGCTAATCTCTAAGTTAAAATAGTGTTGTTAACAAATAAATGGTGTCATAAATGATATTTTTTTATAGTTAAAATGTCAATCATTTTTAATTAGAGATATTTTTTTATCGTTTTTGATAAAAAGTAATTTTGAAATTATTAATTTTTTATATGAAAACTACAAAAACCCATTTTTTCTTGATAATTCATTTTTTATGAAATTTTGATTATTATTTATATTTTTTTTTTTTGAAATTTTGATTATTATTTATTTATTTTTTTTGAAATTACTAATAAAGAAATTATTTTTTGTGATTTTAGTGATTTGAATAAATTATTTCTATATTTAGATCATTGCCTAGGTCTTTTATTTGTCTCTATAGTTTGTCATTTATATTTCTTTTCTGTTTTTTGATTTTTTTGTAATTTCGTCATTTTTTTTTGACAGTTGTTGACCGTGACTACAGGATAGTCTTGATTCTAGGGTTATTCGGTATTATAAGGTAAAGACAATATTTATATTTTATATTTTGTATCTCTCCTCAGGACACAACGCAATCACATTTTTGTTTAAATTTTTTTAGAAATGATAATTAATTCAAAAAAAAAAATAGTTTAAAAAAAAAAGAAAAAAGAACGTATTTTTTTAAATATTCTAAAATTATTCATTTACCATGACCGATTTAAAGTAATATAAATTTTCCATATAATGAGATGGGCTTTATGTTTAATTTTGATATTGGGCCTAGCTTATTTATTAAAATTTTGGAATATCCGAGTATTACTTATCAAAATTTGTATCAAATGGTTGATAAATTTGATGTAAATAATGCATTAGTGACAATTTTATTATTGATCACACTATATGGGTTATCTATTATAATAAAATTTTTGTTTGGAAAATGTACTCTAGTTGCGACCAAGGTATATGGAAATTGGAAAATAGACACTCCGGTGTCGGCTGATTGTAGGTAAAAAATTTCGGTCTTGTAAAGTAATTTAAATGTGGTTTTAAATGAAATCAAGAACAGCAGACCAGAAATGGTAGAATCTTTGGAATGTAATAACGATGATCGTTTGGATATTGTGGAGAGATCTGTAGTTATCCTCCAAGAATTGAAAGAAATAAAAGAAGTGATTAAGATTATGTATCAAGATATAAATAAATTGGTTATTGCGAATAGTAATATTAATAAAGGCTAAATATGTGGTCCGACATGGTCAAACGGAAAAAATATCTCCGTTGAAAAAGATGGTTTTTCTGGTCATAAAAAATTCTTAGAAGACTTGAAATGTACCCGCTGTGGGTATAGGGGCCACAATTTCGTGAAGGTTTTCCGTTAAAGAAACTGACATTGGAAAATTCTAATGTTAGAAAAATTTCTGGTACCAACACGAATAAATTTGAGGTTCTACGATCGAATTATGGCAAATCTCGTTTGTGTTTTAAATGTAACAAACCGGGACATGTAGCATAAATTGTATCAAAAATTGACTATATGATTGCAAGTGTAATCATATAGTAAGTAGGAGATCGGGAGGTAGAAATAATAATAAAGTAAATAACCATGCTGAAATGAGATATGATTCTCGTAAAAGCCGTGGTTTTAACAGAAATTTTTTTTATCCTGATGAGAAAAATGAAAATAATGAAGATTCTAACAATTTTAAATGAGAGAAATATCCTAAGGGTATTGTTAAATATTCCGATAAAAGGGATGTTAATACTTTCAGATGGGAAAAATATCCCAGTGATATTACAAAAAAATATATGAATATTGTTAATGAACCACTAAATTCCGAGTTGAATTTATGTTCAAATGGGAATTCTCCTGAAACTAATGTTT